CAAGCTATCCCCCTGGGTAGAGTGCCATGGCATCACGCTCACAGCAACCTCCAACTCCTGGGCTCAAGCGAGTCTCCTGCCTCAGCCTCCCAAGCAGCTGGGACTACAGGCGCCCACCACAATACCTGGCCATTTTTTGGTTGCAGCCATTGTTGTTTGGTGGGCCTGGGCTGGGGATTCGAACCCGCCACCTTAGGTGTGTGGCTGGCGCCTTAGCCGCTTGAGCCACAGGCGCCGAGCCAGGTATTGTGATTCTTGGAGTTGCTGGCAGAGAGGACCTGGGTGCAGCAGCCTGTCCTCCCATTGGGCATTCCCACTGTGGGCTTCTGGGGTCAGTGATTGTCTCTGTGCCCCTCGTGCAGACTAGGCCCCTCAAGGTGGGGGTTGGAGACAGGCAGGGGCCCATGGGAGGTGCCCACCGGCCTGCAGAGCAGCCTCTGAGGGTCAGTCTGTGGTTAGCGACTTCTTCCCCCACTTTCTAACAGCCAGGTCCTCTTTCAGGGAGCTCCAGAACACACCAGATGCCATCCCTGAGAGTAGTGTGGAGCCTCCAGCCCTGGACACAGCTTGGGTGGAGGCTACGCGGAAGAAGGCTCTGCTGAAGTTGGAGAAGCTGGACACAGACCTGAAGAACTATAAGGGCAACTCCATCAAGGAGAGCATCAGGCGTGGCCACGATGACCTGGGCGATCACTACCTCGACTGTGGGGACCTCAGCAATGCCCTCAAGTGCTACTCCCGGGCCCGAGACTACTGTACCAGCGCCAAGCATGTCATCAACATGTGCCTCAATGTCATCAAGGTTGGGCCAGCGGCAGGTGGGACAGCACTGGCCCTAGGCCAGGAGGGGTGCCCCAGGCTCAGTCTATCCCCACCCGCTCTTCCACCAGGTCAGCGTCTACTTGCAGAACTGGTCTCATGTACTGAGCTACGTCAGTAAGGCTGAGTCCACCCCAGAGATTGCAGAGGTATGAGCCACTACCCAAGACCTTGCCCAGGAGCCCTGGCCACTGCTGGAGTGCTTCTGATGTCCCTCACCACATCCTCCTGAGCCTTTGTCCCTTCTCAGGCTGGGGGCCAGGGAGAAAGGCATGGGTATGTGGGCCTCACACGTGGTTTCCCTCTACAGCAGCGAGGAGAGCGGGACAGCCAGACCCAGGCCATCCTCACCAAGCTCAAGTGTGCTGCAGGTGAGGGCTGGGTGCCAGGGTGAGGGCACCACAGGCAGCCCCTCATGTACCTATACTGTTGAGTCTTCAGTTTAAGGAAAGGGTACTCCTGCCTGCATCACAGCTGGGGAAGCCTCTGCTCTTGTTCAGCGTGCAGGGCCTTGTGGTGCACTTGTGTCCCATGTCCACAGGTGTAGGTGATGCCTGCTTAGGTCCACCAGGGAGAAGCCATGTGGTCAGGGATGGAGATGTCTTCCAATAGGCTGTTCTCACAGCTACTGCCCCACTGGTCACCTGTATGGTCAGGGCTTCAGCTGACGGCTGAACGTCCACAGCTTCAGCTCCTCTGAGCCTGCATGTCCTCTGAAAAGGTGACAGTGGTTTAAGGCTTCCTTGGGTACTTCACAAATGTGCTGGTGTTGGTTGAGGGCTGTGCCCTCCCTGACCCTGTGAGGTGCTGGCAGCTTCCGCAGGTGGCTAGGCCTCATCCCCATTCCTACTTCTTTCCCTCATGGGTCCTTTCTCCACCAGGGTTGGCTGAGTTGGCTGCAAGGAAGTACAAACAGGCTGCCAAGTGCTTCCTGCTGGCATCATTTGATCACTGCGACTTCCCTGAGGTGAGGGCCTTTGGGGTCTCTGGGGAAGAGCCCTCTTGGGGATTTGGCAAGTGAGGGCTCATGGTTGTGCTGTTGGGGGTGGGGGGTCTTCCCTGAATGGGTTCCTAGGCATTCTTTGAGCCAGTGATGGTAGGCTTTGGTGGCCCATCCCTGATCATGGTCTGTTGTGGCCACTATGATGTTGGGTCTCTGGTTCACAGTTGCTGTCTCCTAGCAATGTGGCTGTCTATGGTGGCCTGTGTGCCTTGGCCACCTTTGACCGGCAGGAACTACAGCGCAACGTTATTTCCAGCAGGTGAGTGGGGAGGGGTGCTGGGCCACCCTCTGTGTGTCCCTTCTCTAGCCTGGCTTGTTGTCTAGCGAGTCACTGGAGGTGGGGGCAGGCAGGGCCTGGGCTCTGAGGAATGTGGCCATCAGCAGCTCCTTCAAGCTATTCCTGGAGTTGGAGCCACAGGTCCGAGACATCATCTTCAAATTCTACGAATCTAAGTATGCCTCATGCCTGAAGATGCTGGATGAGATGAAGGTACGTAGGGTGGGTGCAGGTGCCTGGCCACAGGGCAGCAGCAGCTGCCAGCTCCTGACCAGTCTTCCTCTCCAGGACAACCTGCTCCTAGACATGTACCTGGCTCCCCATGTCAGGACCCTGTACACCCAGATTCGCAATCGTGCCCTCATCCAGGTAAGCATCAGGGAGTGGGAAAACAGGCTGGGACACTTCAGATGTGTTTGGGAACTGTGAGGAGCTGACACCCAACACCCCTCTGCCCTGCAGTACTTCAGCCCCTACGTGTCAGCTGACATGCACAAGATGGCAGCAGCCTTCAACACCACGGTGGCAGCCCTGGAGGATGAGCTGACACAGCTCATTCTGGAGGGGCTTATCAATGCCCGTGTGGACTCACATAGCAAGGTGGCTGTGTGCCTTGGGGGTGGCTGGGGGTGGTATACTCTGCCAGGCCTCACTGAGCCTGTACTGTGCAGATCCTGTATGCCCGGGATGTAGATCAGCGCAGCACCACCTTTGAGAAGTCCCTGCTGATGGGTAAGGAGTTCCAGCGCCGTGCCAAGGCCATGATGCTGAGAGCAGCTGTGCTGCGCAACCAGATCCATGTCAAGGTGAGTGGCCCAGCAGGCACTGGGCTCACCTGCACCTGTGTGGTGGGCTGAGTGTTTCCCTGTTGCTCCACAGTCTCCACCTAGAGAGGGGAGCCAGGGAGAGCTGACTCCAGCCAACAGCCAATCTCGGATGAGCACCAACATGTGAGGGGCCTGCCAGCCTCCAGGACAGTCTGCACACCCTTCCCACCCCTGCAGATACATACCCCTGGACGCAGCTGGGCATCCTTGTGCCCCTCTATCCCACTGTGTCCTGTGCTGGGGGGGGTCTGGGAAGGCTGGCAAGATGCCAACTGTGGGCCTTCCTAGAAGGAGGGATCTGTGGGCTTCAACCCCAAAGGTCTCTACCCCCAGGAGCTGACTGTGGTGCCCAGATTCCTCCTGTCCTTGCATCGTCGTGTGGTGCAGATGAGCTGACTAGTCCATTAAAGAGCAAGTTGAACACTGCCCTTGGCTCTCCTTCCTTCCACCCCTTGGTTGCCTTTGGTTTGCAAGGTTTGTCTCTTAGGGTCAAGCTTAGGGCCACAACCTAGCAGGAAGCTAGGGTGGCCTTGATCCATGGGTTCTATGGCATAGCTGGTGGGCCTGGGCTATGCTTCCAGGGCTGTCCTATTAGGAAGCTCCACTATTTATCCTTGGGGGGGTTGCTGAGCATGGCTTTCCTCTTCACACCTCATGCTTCACCTTCCTTTAAAGATGAGCCCCACCGGCCCCAACCATACCCACCCACTTGTCCAAGTGAGTGGCCCAGACAGATCAGGGCTCTCAGGGTAGGGTGATGCTCACAGGCTACTGGCTCTCTGCGCACCTTTGAGATGGTTTATTGTTCACTTTTGAGAGCACAAGTGAGGACAGGGCAGGTTCGGCCTGAAGCCTGCTCCCAGATGCAGCATTTCCAGGCTCCTGTGTGGGTCAAGGGGAGGACATTGGCACGTCCTTCCACATTAAATAGCAGGAGATTCCCTGAGAAAAAGGCGTTTCCTTAAGACGTGTCCAAGCTCTAGCAGCAGTCCCGGGGTGGAACAGGTCCTACTGGCCCTCAGGCCAGGGTACTGCCTGTACTTCAGAGAAGCCAGCTGGGGTGCTGGGCCTGGCCTTCTGAGGCTCCTAATGCCCGAGCTGGGCCCCTTTCCAGGCCAGAGACTTCTCCAATTTGGTTTTAAAAAGTAACCCATGACCTGGCAGAGGGGACAAGAGGGGATGGTGGGGGTCAGGAAGCCAAGATACCATTGTTTGTGAGGTGACGGGGAAAGACGGGCCAGTGGCGGCAGACACCCTCACCTGGGCAGTCTGCAGTCTCCCTGAAGGCCCGCTTCTTGCAGCAGCCACGGCACAGGTTGAAGACACATCTGTTGCCCTGAGCACAGGAAAGCAGCAGGCAGGGTTGGGGGAACCCTGGTCAGGCTGGGAACCTGCCACCCCAAGCAGTGTGGGGACCCCTTGCCCACCCCCAGGAGCTGAGGCCTGGGATGTAGCCAGAAACAACTCACTTTTGGGTTTCCACACTGGTCACACTTGGCATATTTTGCTAGGAAGAAAAGAACAAAGGGCACTGGTAGGATGATTGAGTGTGAGGTGGGCTAGAGCAGCCTGTCTGCCACCTCGTGGCCTGCCAGTCAGCTGTGTCTCTACCAAGAGCAGAGGACACACAGGCTTTAACTCCTGGGCAAGGAGTGGTGGCAGATGAGTGGGTGCTGTTCTGTGGAAAGTGAAGGGAAGCAGGTGTGCAGGGGACGCAGCCAGAGAAACGGCCTCACCCCATCCCAACAGGGACAGGGGATGCAACTAGCCCACCTGCGGGGTCCAAGGGACCCTGCACCCTTTGGTGTTGGGTCTCCTAAAGTAAAACAGCTAAATGGGGTCCTCAATCCAAAGCCCCACCCACATCCTGCCTCTCTGGCTGTCACAGGGTCAGCAGGGCTGCTGGCAGCATTTTGACGCAGCAGCCCCTTGTCAACCCACCTGACCCTGGGGTATGTATGGGAAGGTTTCTAGGATCTTCCAGCTGGTCTGTCTGTTCTGGGAGGCTCCTACCTGGCAGAAGCCTGGGAGGTGGCCAGGCCCAAGACACAGAGGGGTACCCAGCAGCCTAAGAAGTCTAATGCAGTCCCATGGAGGGGACAAGTGGCTTCAGCCTATCTAATCCAACCTCTTTCCTGCTGTGGCCTTTGTCCAAAGGCATAGCTTCTCGTCCAGCAGCCTGACACTATACATTCTCCTGGGGCCTCTTGGCCTCCTGCTCAGTGGCTGTTCAGGCCACCCCCACACAAAGCTGGGGCACACCCAAGGCTCTGCCAGGCATGGACCACCTCAGTGACCCAGGGACTTGACCTGCAAACAAACCACTCAGAGGGCACCTGGCTGGGGCTGATCCATAGCCTTGGTTGGCTCGTTAAGAGCTAATGTCCCCACGTGCACCATGTGCTATTGCCCCTTGCTCAGACCTAGAGTCTAGCCTGACCACACTGCCCAGGCTCCAGGGCCATGAGTTTCAATGACCAAGTCTGGCTTTCTGTCCCCAGCAAAGTGAGGACAAGGGCTCAAGGAAGGAACTGGTGAGGCTGGCTCTGCCCAGCCGCTTCCCAGCCCCAGCACTAGCAGTGCTTACGTTTCAGAGAGGGGTCAAAAGTCTTGTGGGGGTTCCTCAGTTGCTTCTTCTGCTTGTTCTTGGACAGGACCTCCGTGCTGCCCTCCTCCTCCTCCAGGGCCCGCTTGCTGCAAGCCCCAGCATTCTTGCTCCCCTCCCTGGGCCTGAGGGGAAAGGTGGCAGATGGCATTCAAGGACCCCCTGGGAGGCAGCCCAGCCACCAAGTAGACCAGAGTCCAGGTGAAGCCCTAGGCCAAGGAGAGGCTGGTGGCCATTGCTGGTAGTAACACATGTGTGTGGCTCCCCCAGATACCCAAGTAGCTAGATGGCAGGACTGTGTACAGCCCACATGGCAAGAGAGGTAGCTGGCACAGAGGCTGGGTCCTCCGGGATGATATCCACACCTCTGGGGCCAGGGTCCAAGCTACTAAGCTCACTCTAGAGGACAAATCAACCCAGGATCAAAAGAGCTTAGAGAAATTCTTTTGGAGAAAATACTTAAGTATTCACTGACAGGGAAAAACGAGATAATCCACCAGTATCCTACACCAAGGCCACCAATAATAGGCCAGGCCCTGCTCAGGGAGGTGTATGGTCAGGATGAACTTGGGCAGACCTAGCAGGTGTGGACCCAGGGCAGGCGCCCTCACCCTCATGCCCCTCCTGGGGCTGGCTCGGGGGCTCACCCTGGCCGGATGTAGGGTTGGCAGATCCAGTGGAAGAACGGCAGGTCACTGGGGGGCTTCTCTCCCTGCCACCTGGACATCTCCTCCTGCAAAAGCCCAAGCCCTGGTCAGGGCCTTGAGCTACCCACCACAGCCCACCTAGCTCCCACTTGCCCCCGTGCCTGCCTGACACCGCAGCTTCAGCTCCAGGCTCACGGCAGCGATGCCCTCCAGGGTCTTCACTTTGGCGAGCTCCTCTCGAAGCTGCTGATGCACCTGCAGCCTGGGACAGACCCAACAGATGGAGCTGGGCCCTCCAGGCTGCTGGATCAGCTGCCTCCACCTGAGTAGGGAGGGCTCACTCTTCCTGTCTCAGTTCACTTCCAAGTTCCCCCACCCCTTCAAGACCTGCCTGGTGGCAAGCTGTTTTGGCAGGACTCCAACAGCATCTGCTTGGGTGACATCCCCCAAGTAGCTTCTATCTTAGGGGCAACTCACGTGTGGTGCCACAGCTTGAAGAGGTGGGCCCGGACGTAGGACAGTGGACAGGGGTGCTGGCGCACAAGGTCCAGGTACTCCTCGGCCAGCTCCCACACAGCAGGGCTCCGGCCCTCAAACAGGGCGGGGTTGTGCAGATTGCCCTCTGTGCAAGAGGAGGAGGGAGGCCTTGTGGGGCTGCTTCCAGGGGAACAGCAGAAGAAAGCCTGTGGCACCCAGGACCCAGCTGGTACCCTTTCACACCAAGGACAAAACTGGCCACCTGGCTCACTGACCAGCCCATTTGAAAAGCCTGGCCCAAAGGTTCAGTCCCATCAGAACAGATGGCACCAATGCAGACAATCTGTGATGACACTAGTACAACGTGGACAGCAGGATATACTCGGTGCCCCTGCTATAGTCACCAGCCTTGCCCACCCACACTCATGACCCCCTGGATGCCAGTGTCCCCAGCCCCGCCCACTCACACTCATGACCCACTGGACGCCCGTGTCCCCAGCCCGACCCACCTGCACTCATGACTCCCTGGACACCTGTGTCCCGCAGGCACCGCTCCACATCCTGCAGGCACTGGATGTTCCCATTGGCAAACACAGGGATGGTCACAGCCTTCCTGTTGGGGGGAAACTCTGTCTTGTCACCTTGGCCAGGACAGCGCCAAACTCTACCTTGCCAGGTGCTTCTCTAAACTCCAAAACTCTACCTTGCCAGGTGCCTCTCCTCCCACTGCACACTGCCACCCCCAAGCTGGTGGCCCCCAGATGTCAAGTGCTAAACACTAAGGTGCAGAGCTGTGTCCACCTACCGCACAGCCTTGATGTGTTCCCAGGACGCTGCACCTGACAGGGGCCCCCTCTGCTCCTTGGTGCGTCCGTGCACAGTCAGCAACTAGGACAGACCAGCAGCGGCTCAATCATGCTCCTGGGCAGAGCCCCTTGCAGCTCCAGAGGACTTTCTCCCCCAGTTTCTCAATTCCCCCAGTAAGGCAGAGGCTGTCCTGGGCCTGGTTTGGTCCCTGCAGTGACCAAGCCTTGGGAGGGCTATGCACATGGGGAGGAGCCCCCAGGATGGGAAGCAGCAGTGTCTCTACTGCCCAAGGCCAAAGGTGCAGGAGGGACCAGCTCCAGGCTGACCCCAGACTGTAGGGGCATAGGTAAGTCCTCACCCCTAGGTCATTAGATTCCTGTCCATCTCTGAAAGGTATCTTGGGCTCGGTGCCTATAGCTCAACCAGCTAAGGTGCCAGCCACGTACACCTAAGGTGGCGGGTTCGAATCCCCAGCCCAGACCCGCCAAACAACAATGATGGCTGCAACCAAAAAAAATAGCCAGGCGTTGTGGCAGGCGCCTGTGGTCCCAGCTACTTGGGAGGTGGAGGCAGAAGACTCGCTTGAGCCCAGGAGTTGGAGGTTGCTGTGAGCTGTAATGCCACGGCACTCTACCCAGGGGGACAGCTTGAGGCTCTGTCTCAAAAAAAAAAAAAAAAAAAAAAAAGAAAGGTATCTTGGGTATAGCCATGGCAGGGTCTAGTCCAAGCCTGCAACAGGCCAGGCTTAATGTGCAGAGGACTCAGGCAGGGGAACAATGCTGTCAACAGCCCTGTGGCCTTTCCTGACCCTCCAGAGGGTTAGACACTAAGCTCTTACAAAGGAGGCCCTGGCCAGCCTCTGAGCAGTAGGACGTGGCATGACTTCCTATTACGGAAGACTGAGCTCAAGGTGCCTGCCCACTGAGCCAGGGGTCAGCTACGCAGTAAACCCACTGCCCTCAAAGAGGCCAGGGCATGTCTTGCCCAGGTGGGCACAGGAAAAGCCTCAGCTGCCCCCCCTGCCCAACACCATGAAAATGAGCCAGAGCTGGCCGCTCAGACACCCAGAGCCCAGGCTCACCTGACAGCCGGCTTTCTCCAACATCTGGGCGTATCTCACCGTCTTGTCAATCTCTGGGAAGACACGAATTTTGCATGTGACAGGAACAGAGAGTTTCTCATGAGCTAGCAGAACTGAGGAGAAGAGAGACTGCGTCTGAGGGAAGCCTGGTATTCCCACTCCACTGCAGCCCAGGCCCTCATGGGGCCATCATTCACAGGCTACTGGGCAGGTTCCCTCAGCCTTCCCTCTGTCCTCATAAGTTCATGTAACAGGTGGAGCCAATGCTGGCTCTCACATGATGGCAGCTGAGACCAGATGTCCCTCAGGGCTTTAGGAAGTTGGGACTAAGCAAGGACACTGCCTCAGCACCAACTGTCTGCTTCTAAGGGGCAGCTGGTGCAGAATAGGCAACTTCACAGTCCCCTCCTTCTAGCAGAGGACATACTGCATCCAGGAGTTCCCAGGCTGATCCCAGGACACTCTGCCACTCTGCCAGCTCCTGTCTTCACCTGTGCCCCATCCAGGTAGCCAGTGCCCCCATGTCCCCACCAGGCTGTCTCTGGGGCTCCTTCACTGTCCACATGGTGACATGTAGCCAACTCACTCATTCTTTGGAGCAGGTCCCACTCCTCCTGAAGGAAGGCACCATAGTGACCTGCAAGGAACAGGTGTGGCCCACTGGTACCAGTGTCAAGGCTGGGTACCTCCTCCCACATGGGCCTCTCTCCTGCAGCCACACAGGTCATGAACCACTCTGCCAGGCCAGCCCCCACAGGGATCCTAGAAGCAGCAGTATTTCTGGCTAGGGCACCGTGACAATCAGGCAGTTTGTTGATGTCAGACTTTGAGGCTCTTTGTCCAGCTGCCAGACCTCGAAGGGTACTGAATGGGATATCCACCCCATGCGGTGTTTATGACAAGCCAGCACCTCCTTAGGAGTCTAGCGAAGACAGGCAGGGGAAACATGTCAGCAAATCATATTTATCTTCTTTGGAGAGCAGAGTACAAGGCTCAACTCCAGGGCATGAGGATGGCACTCTCAGAGGGAATAGCCAAGCTTGAGCCTGGGCTGTCACTAGCATCACAGACAAAGCCAGGCAGGGGCTGCCTTGCCCTGAGCTCAGCCCCAGTCAGGGCTGTACTGAGCTGGCCCTGGACCCTGTACCTGGGCGTCCATGGACTACAAGCACGCACAAGCCTAGGAAGGTGCTCAGGACAGCATCCTGAAGCTGAACTTGCCTCTCTTGGCTATCATCTGCGGGCAGCCCAAGTTCAGGTCAATGGCATCACAGTGATCCTGGGCCAGGAGAGCCGCCTGGACAAACACTTCTGGGTCGTTGGCACAGAACTAGAAAAGACAAAAAAGTCATCCACGAGCCCTGATCCCTGGCCACCCAGGCTGCCCAGCCAGATGAGGAGTTGCAACGTGACCTGATCAAAGTGTGTCCTGCCCTACCAATGTTTTACCATGTGACAAAGCTAGGATGAGTCCCCAAACCATGGAGAGTAATGTACAAATTTACAGAATTTCTTTTGATCTGTAACAGGACCCACTACCACTGACTTCTCCCAGAAGACAGGCAGCCCTCAGGCAGCCCCAAGGGCTCAAATCTCACCTCCCCACGCTAGGTGGACCAGCTCCCAAGGAAAGAGTCAATTTCTGGGAGGTGCACCTGGCTGCCCTTCTTTACCCTGTGCTCTGCCTCTCATTACCTCCCATGCCTGGTGTCACTTTCTGCCCTTTCCCCTGGAGTTGGTTTCTGGAAAGGTTGAGGGTGGAATCCTCACTCAGAGAAAACTGCTTCATGGGGGTTCCCAGGGCCAGGAACTGGAGGCCACAGTCCCCCCACTCTACCTGCACAATGAGAGGCCGGTCCTCAGGGCACACTTCGCAGTACAGGTTTTCCTTCCGGTAGTTGGCATCTCGGACAAAGACCTGAGCATGCAGCATGGGGGTGTAGCAGAGCTGTGCCCCATGGCGGCGGCTCAGCAGCCTCCAGGCCAGCTCACTTTGGTCCACCATGGGGGCCACCACATGGCGGGCCCCCCCAAGGGTCTGGCTCCAGAACTCGAAGCCCTGAAGCTTTGGCATGGCCTCCACACTGAAAGAGGGAAGACCAGGGCTCAGCCAGGGCCTTGGAGAGCCCAACATATGGAAGGAACTAAGCCAGAGGTCTAAGGTCAAACTCAGAGGAAGAGGTCGGTTTGAAGTCCACTCCATTGCCACCCGGTGGAATCAATGTTGGGTCACACAAAGGCACTATGTGCTGGTTGGCACAGGCTTGAGAAAGGATATCCCAGTGCGGTCAACTTCTAGTGGAGATTTGGTCAAGCCAGTGGACCTTTCTAGGTCTAGACTCATGTGCTAGTGGGATTAAACGTTTGCCTGGTATGACAGGTATGAAGAGAAGATGAAATAGCAAAGACAGTATCCTGGTCGGGACTTGGTCATGAGCAGGCCACTGTAATATGAAGTCATAACCCATCAGGCCTAGAACCACTGCCAAGGCAGAGCACCCTGAGTCTCAGAGCTGGAGACCCAAGGCAGGCCTGGCCTCCTGGCTAGCTACAGGGGTGTAAGGCGGTTCCTTTGAGGCTGTCACAGTCCATAAGGAACACTTATAAAACACGATTCTTGCCCCCCAGTAAGGGTGAGAAATAAGAGACTCTACTTCGGCTGTTAACCTCTTCCGGCCTGGCAGAAGACTGGGTAGAACTACCCTTCCCCACCAGACGCTTAACTTCACTCAACTCGCAGTGGCCAAGGGGGAGGCGGGGGAAACGGGCTTTAAGAGAAGGGTCTGCTGGGCCCTCCGCGCCCGCGCCCAGGATTACTCGGCAGGCCGGGGGTTCCATAATTGAGTCGAGGCCCAACCTTTGGCTCGGTATTTTCAACGACTATGAAATTACACAAAAATCATCCGAGTCACTAGCGTCCTTACCTGAGAAGGTCCCGCGTGACACGGGTGGGGCCGCCTAGTCCGCGGCGCTGGGCCCTGCCGCCCCGCCCGGAGCGCGGTCGCGCGTCCCGGCTCCCGCTTGGCCGCAGCTAAGCCCGCACCCTGCTGCGGCCACCGCCGCCGGGCCGCCGCCGGGCCCAGCGCTCCGCGCTGCCGCCGGAAGGACAGCTGCCTGGGAGGTCCGGCCGGACCACGGTGCGGCGGGAAACGGGTCCTCCGGAAACCGCTCCCGGGGCCCAACGGCCCGGCGTCAAAGGGGCCACCTGCGAAGTCGAGTAAGAGTCGCGGGTCGGCGGCCACCGGCCTGGATTGTGTGGCGAGGGCTCGACCTGTCACTTAAAAGGAGGCGTAGGTCGCGTGGAAATTAGGCCTGCTCAAGGTGTGAACAAAGCCAGTCCCCAGGTGGACCGTGGGCGCTCGTGGGGCCCTGTGCTGCTGGCGCCCGACTGTGCATGGGGGGCGCCCTCCATTCTCCGGACGCGTGCAGAGAGCCCTGCTGGGAACTGAGTCCTTTTGCTTTGACCCAACACACATAAAAACACACAAGGGACAGAAACCACGTTTTATTGTGTAAAATGACCCCTCAGTGGGCGTCCTTGGAGGTCTGCAGTCCCATTCCTGCATCTCTTCCTTGCTTTATTTTGATCTGAGGGGACCCACTCACCACCACCAGAGGTGACATAAACATTATTTTATTTATTATTATATATATACATATATTTTTTAGAGACAGAGCCTTACTCAATGGCCCTTGGTAGAGTGCTGTGGCATCATAGCTCACAGCAACCTCCAGCTCTTGGGCTTAAGCGATTCTCTTGCCTCAACCTTCCAAGTAGCTGGGACTACAGGTGCCCACCACAACGCCTGGCTATTTTTTTTGTTGCAGTTTGGCTGGGGCCGGGTTTGAACCCACCACCCTCGGTATATGGGGCTGGTGCCCTACTCACTGAGCCACAGGCACCGCCCTCTTTTGTTTTTTTATTTTTATTTTTTTAAGGGAGGAGGCCATTCCAGAGATTAAGGACAGGCTTTATTTTTATTTTATTTTTGAGACAGAGCCTCAAGCTGTTGCCTTGGGTAGAGTGCTTGGCATCACAGCTCACAGCAACCTCCAACTCCTGGGCTCAAGCGATTCTCTCGCCTCAGCCTCCCAAGTAGCTGGGACTACAGGCACCTGCCACAATGGCTAGTTTTTGGTTGTAGTTATCGTTGTTTGGCAGGCCTGGGCTGGATTCGAACCTGCCAGCTCTGGTGTATGTGGCTGGCACCTTAGCTGCCTGAGCTAGCTACAGGCGCCAAGACTGTGAACGTTATTTTAAACTGAAGATAATGAGAGAGACCCAATGGATGCAGAAAGAAGCTTTTTCAGAGCTTTCCTTATAAGACTAAATGCAGAAATTTTTGAAAGTGAGGCCAGGAAGTTAACAAGGACACCCAGTAAGTAAGCCAGGCCCCATGGGCCTTGGAAAGCACCCAGATATCCCTGGTATCAGGAAGAGCCCAAGCTGTATACTGCTGTGGCTGAACATGAGGCTTGTACAAAGGAAAAGTAAAAATCAGGTCAGTGGGAGAATCACTTGCGCTCAGGAGTTTGAGACCAGCCTCAGCAAGAGTGAGACTCCATCTCTAATAAAAGTAGGAAAAGTTAGTTGGGAATAGTGGTAGCACCTGTAGTCTCAGCTACTCTGGAGGCTGAGGCAGGAGGATTGATTGCTTGAATCCAGGAGTTTGAGGTTACTGTGAGCTGTGATACCATGGCACTCTACCCAGGTGAAAGACCCAGATTCTATCTCAAATAATTAAAAAATAGCTGAGTGCAGTGGCTCATGCCTATAATCCCAGCAGTCTGAGAGGCTCAGGCAGGTGGATCACCTGAGCTCATGAGTTCTAGACCAGCTTGAGCCAGAGGGAGACTGCATCTCTAAAAAAAAATAGCCAGGCATTGTGGCAGGCACCTGTAGTCTGTCTCAGCTACTCAGGAGGCTGAGCCAAGAGAATAGCTTGTGCCCAAGAGTTTGAGGTTGCTGTGAGCTGTGATGGCACAGAACTCTACCGAGGGCAACAAAGTGAGACTCTGTCTCAAAAAAGAGAAAAAAATTAGAATTACCATATGATCCAGAAATTCTACTTCTGAGTAACTCCAACACTTCATTTTATTGCTTTCTATTTGTTCTAGGGCTAATTGCATGCATTCTAAGTCTTCAAAGTCTACTGGTGGTTAACATTGTGTAATTCATCCCTGACACTCCCCTCTCTACCTCTCATACCACACTTTCCACTTCACAAATGTACTAACCTCACAAAAGTACAGACTCCTTGAGCCTTGCCCTTCAGGCTTTGTACTATTGTTGGCATATATTTTAAATTCTTTTTTGGGGGGGGCTGGGGCTGGGTTTGAACCTGCCACCTCTGGCATATGGAGCCAGTGCCCTACCCTTTTGAGCCACAGGCGCCGCCCCATATATTTTATTTATATATATATATATATATTTTTTTTTTTTTTTTTTTTTGTAGAAACAGAGTTTCACTTTATCCCCCTCAGTAGAGTGCTATAGTGTCACAGCTCACTGCAACCTCCAGCTCTTGGGCTTAGGGGATTCTCTTGCCTCAGCCTCCACAGTAGCTGGGACTACAGGCATCTGCCACAACGCCTGGCTACTTTTTTGTTCAAACCTGCCATCCTCGGTATATAGGGCCGGCACCCTACTCACTGACCCAGTGAGGTGCCGCCCAGTGTTCAGAGATTTTTATACCTGCCTTGTAGAAGGGAGGGGTAATTGAGGAGATTAGGGCATAAGTGGTTACTAGGGAAGATAATGGATGGGGAAATACATTGACCTGTAAATTCACCTGAGAGAGAGGTGTGTTGTGAAAGATTTGGGCCAGATCTGCCAGCTTTCTTGGTCTTCGGTTCTGAGATGTGCTGAGATAACAGGAAGGGGAAGGAGAGGCAGTTGTTTTTTTGACAGATCTGTCTAGTTTATGCAGAGAGGAAGAAGGACCCTCCCAATGCATGTTGACCTTGGATGGCCTTCAATTCAAAATATTCCTTATACCAGGCAATCATATTTTGGAGTAAAACTTCCTGAGTTCCTTCTAGAACAAAGAGTATGATCCTTATATTTATCCACTTACCTGCCACTTCCAGAATTCTTTCTTCTTATTGTAGATCTGAATTTGTATCTGGTATCACTTTTCTTTTTTTTTTTTTCCCTGTAATTGTGGCTTATTGTACTTATTCCATTTTCCCAAAGACCATCGAACACATTATATACTATTCCAGTAATTACCATGCTACCAATAAAAACAAGTGAACAGTTTATTAAGACGATATTCTCTTTCTTTCTTTCTTTCTTTTTTTTTTTTTTTTTTTTGAGACAGAGTCTCAGTCTCATTATGTTGCCCTGGGTAGATTATTGTGGCGTCACAGACCACAGCAACCTCAAACTCTTGGGCTTAAGCAATTCTCTTGCCTCAGCTTCTCAACTAGCTGGCACTACAGGCGCCTGCTACAGTGCCCAGCTACTTTTTGTTGCAGTTGTCATTGTTGTTTTAGCTGGCCCAGGTGGAGTTTGAACCTGTCAGCTAAAGTATTTGTGGCTGGTGCCGAAACCACTGTGCTACGGGCGCGGAGCCTGGTATCACTTTTCTTTAGACTGAAAAGCAGCCTTTACCCTTTCTTATTGTCAAGATCTGATAGAGATGAATTTTCCCAGGTTTCATTTATTTGAAAATATCTTTGTTTTAACCTAATTTTTGGAAAATAGTTTTGCTAGTTATAGGATTCAAGAGCGGGCATTTTTTTACCACTTTAGAAATGATTGGGGGGGGGGACAGCACCTGTGCCTCAGTGAGCAGGCTGCTGGCCCCATATACCAAGGGTGGCGGGTTTGAACCCAGGCCCAGCCAAACCGCAACAAAACATAGCCAGGTTGTGGCAGGTGCCTGACTTGGGAGGCTGAGGCAAGAGAATCGCCTAAGCCCAA